ATTTTATTGCTATCCCTTTAATGTAATTCTCCATGTCCTAACTAAATTTGTATCTGTTGCGTAAATGCGTAATTCTAAATTTAAATTTCCCGCGTCATATAAATAAAAAATGTCAATGGTCACAGTTTAAAAAAGAAACTCTATTCACAGATAACTAGTTAAGGTACGTTTAGGAACAAAGAAGTCAGCTCATAGGACATAAAAAATTCGATTAGGGCCTCATCCAAATCTTGATAGATGTTTTTGTGAAACACAGAAACTCTAGCTTAGCTTATCCATATTAGCACTTAATTCACACATGAGGGTCACAGAATATAATTTATAGCAGTGGTAATATATTGGCGTTGCAGATGGAGCAACGAGCAATAATTATTCTATGGCCGGCGGCCATATTCGGCGCCCTACTCAGACCGGGCGCCCTCTGGCGGCTCACCTTTGACATCTGCTTTGCGTTTCCTAATTAAAGGAGTAGACGTGGAAATGAACTTGGGCCTTACAAACTCCTTTTACCCAAAGAGAAATCGTTGTATGTATTTGAAATCGTTCTTGTATAATATTTTGAATCTAATACCATCGTAGTTTCTCTTATTATGTACCTAAAAACTTTTTTAAGCAGACCAATATGTCAAAAATTTAGTTCAAAGAATTTGTGTTCTTCAGATATGAACTACTAAAAAACAGTCTACTGCCGATGGAACTATATTAAGATGACATACACAATAAACATACGAGTTGATACTCCTCCTTCGACTATTCAAAGTCGGTTAAAAATAATTAAATCCACCTAGAGGGCATGGGACAGGATCGGCCGGTGAAAGAAGTTTATTTGAGCCGGCCTAGTGATCGGAGACCAGGTCAGCTGGGTATCTCTGGATCGACAGAGTGGAGGAAGGCCTGCTACAGTTCAATGCCAGCAATTAGCGGTAGGTGGTAGAGGACAGGGTGCGCTAAAAAATGTGTAATTTCTGGGTCGCAGAGCCAGCGGAGAGAGAGAAAGAAAATTATCTAGATGATTGCGTTTTCGCCGGTGTTTTAAATAAACCACTATGAAAATTGGATATAATATGGCAGATTCGTGTCGAGTAGTAAAAAACAAAACGTAACTACAAAATGAAATTTTATATTTCATATTCCATAAGGAATTCATAATTATCGTCATTCAAGTGCACTTTTTCATCTTCTTGTGTCCTTTTTTTATTATTGTCCCTTTCACTGTTTACATATCACATGCACAAATTTGCACGCCATTATGTGTGGCAGAATATGCGAACTTTAGATTGTACCACCGTAACATTTTTGTACTATATTCTTTTCTCGTGCATTAGTTTGCACTTCTTGCGGTCACAGATGTTGCCTGGAAGAGATCGCTCGAAAGCGAGTTGCCCTCCTTTTCATTTAATAATTTTAATTGTACTGTGTTTCTGTAAGTGTTAATAAATAATTGGTAATATATACGGCTTTAATTTACGTTCAAAAACATGCATTGGAGGAGCCATAGCTGGATACATGTTTACTTCCAATCATCCACTAATTGAAAAAAGAAAAGCGAGCAAATTACTGACACTATATCAAGTGTTAAATGCCGCAAGTCTGCTCGTAGCGAACAAAAATACACAATTTTAGATAATAAATCAATAGCATAATCGAATAGCCGGTAGCAACTATCTCAATATTTTATTTTTAGTTTAGGGGTCCTTTATATTTTACACGCTAAGTTTTAAAGAAACATTACCGTGGTAATTTGAGGCGTATAAATAAATAAATCAGTGGCGGTGCCTGACACACGCCGTCGAATTTTTGGGTCTAAGGCAAGCCGGTTTCCTCACAATGTTTTCCTTTGCCGTACGAGCGATTGTTGTGTACACATAGAAAGAAAGTCCATTGGTGCACAGACGGGGATCGAACCTACGACTTCAAGGATGAGAGTTGCACGCTGATGCCACTAGGCCAACACTGCTCTATTTGAGGCGTGTAATCTAATGTAAAATTCAAAATGATTGGTCACTGAAACAGACATTGCCCCATGCCTCATTCCATCAAATGTCATGGAACTTAAAAAAAGTTGACCTATTGTTCAAAAAATAAAAAAAAATTGACCAAAGTAACCTGTAACTTCCATCTTTCCTAGACAGTTTAATAGGGGTTCATTAAAGCCGCGGTTAAATAGGCACCTTCTGGACAGTGTCCTCCAATAGGCCGCATCTCACTTAACATCAGTGTGATTGTGGCCAGTTCTGTATAAAAAATAACTCAAAATTTCAAAGTTTTCTGACGTACCTCAAAGTTCTGGTAAAGAAAAAACTTAATATAGCCACGGAACCAGTGATTATCTAGAGGAAGTAGTGAGATAAGGCGTTTGACGTAATCATATCTCTAACACATCGAAACTGTGAAGACCCATACTTTAAATTTTAATGCCAGCTTTTTGATTGAAAAGCAATTATTATTTAATTACATAGACCTCGGTCGTAAAATGTTTGTTGTTCTATTTTGTTTTTAATATAATCAGAATGTTTATGGTGTAAATAAATAGGAATGACTTTTGAAGATTTTTTTTAATAGCAAATGGGATCACCTGATGTTAAGCGACGCCGCTGCCCATGACACTTAATGCAAGAAGGCTTGCGAGTGTGTTACCGGCCTTTTAAGAAATGGTATGCTCTTTAGAAGGACCCTTAGTCAAATTGGTTCGGAAATACTGCAGTGGGCTGCTGGTTCCACATAGTGGTGGTGCACAGCTCATGACGACTCATTGGTCTAGTGGTTAGTACCCCTGACTGCGAATCCATGGGTCCCGGGTTCGATCCCCGGCTGAGACTAACATCGATGTGATGAGCATTTGGTGTTGTGCTTAGGTCTTGGGTGTTTAAATATGTATTTATATGTCTATCTATCTATAATATGTATGTATATCCGTTGCTTAGTACCCATAACACAAGCTTCACCAGCTTAGCATGGGACTAGGTCAATTGGTGTGAAAAACAGCTAAAACTGCCTTAAAAACGCAAAGGGTATATACACTGCAGACGAAACAGCACCAAGGTCTTTGCTGATCTCAACCTTGTGGGAAAAGAAAGCCAATATGTCCTGTCCAGCTGTAGATAGGTTGTATTAAGTTAACACAGGAGCTCCAAAACCTGAGGCGACCGAAGTTACACATATAAATACAGAGATAGGTTTGAATTGAAAAAAAATGATTATGATTTTATAATATATTTATGTGTTCTCAGAGCGAATTCGTTAAATATACTATATTACGGAAATTAAGTTACACAACTATCGCATTGGCTATTAGCTATAATAATAATAATAAATCGTTTATTTCAAAGAAAACCGTAAATTCTGATTAATTAATTATAAAAAACCGCACAATCAGCTATATAGAAATTGCCATGCAAATTTCATTATGACCCCAGAGCTGGTGCTTTCCTCGCTCAACAAATAAGTATCGCCATACAGCGAGGACATGCTGCCAGCGGTAAAGGTACAATGGCACAGGGAACAAACTTTCTAAATTTTTTAAAAATTTTTTTTAATAATAACATTACGATGTAGGTTAAGAAAATTGTAAATACTGTATATTTGATAACAATCAAGGTTAAGGTTTTATTTAATTAAAGAATTTCATAGTAATTATCATGATTATAATAATAAGAACAGTTGTTAGGATAGTTATTATTATAAATAAACTAGCTGACCCGGCAAACGTTGTTTTGCCATATAAATAATTTCTATGTACTTTCTAGTGCCGACAGAAAATAACTAACCTATTTTAAGTGTGTAAGGATGTGGTATATGCACGAAATAGGTGTGTAATGCTGTGAACGATAAGGGAATATAGAAATAACAAACGCCAAGCACTATATTTATTAATAATTCATCATAATTTATTTCTGTAATATATATATACGTATCATTATTCGATAAGAGCGGCAACACTATCAAAAAATATCAGTCTCTTAATGGCGTGAACAATATTTTTTGTTAGCCCATCTTTAGCTAACACAAACAAACTTGATGGTTTACCCACTCGAGAGCATGCCACGTATAATTGTCCGTGTGAAAAACATGGCGTGCTTAAATCTAAGCCACAAACCGACATCGTTTGGCCTTGGGATTTATTGATGGTCATGGCAAATGCCAATCGAATTGGAAACTGAACACGCTTTAATTGAATTGGCACATCCGTAGGTATTATAGGAATCCGTGGTATTAATATGTTTTCACCTCGGAACTTTCCATTTAAAATGCTAGCTTCGATGACGTTCTTCATTAATTTTCGAAGGACCAATCGCGTACCGTTGCACAGCCGTGGCGGGTTCAAATTGCGAAGCATGATAATCGGAGATCCAACCTTTAATTGTAAATTATGCGGTGGCACACCTGGCAAATCCAGTGAGTTCAAAAACTCTGTCGGAAAATTTACAGTTTCGCTCGCATCGCAAACTGTGTCAATAGATTTATATGATTCCAAGTTCCCTGGCAATAACTGTTGTATCTTCAGATTCAAATTGTCAACGTCTACATTTTTTGCCGCTAAAATTGCTCTTTCTGCAAGCCACTCATGATTTAAGTACTGTGTGTGTACATCGGGAAATATTTTTTCAATGAGAGTGTCTTGCGAGTCAACGATTGTGCAAAAATCTGTCGGTAATTTTACGCATCCAGTCTCATCTATAGTTACTTTTCCATCACCGATATCTAGGAGTTGTTTTGAGAATGTTTCAGCGGATGGATCTTGAAGCATTTGAACGCGCATATTTACTTTCAGCTGTACTTTTTCAACATTACGCCACAGTGTAGATGATTTTAAGCAAGCATTAATCTCATCAGCGTATGTTGAACGTGGAATGACGGGAAGTGTTTGCCTGAAATCACCTGAAAGGACTAACAGAGTGCCGCCAAATAGTTTGTCGTTGTTTTTGATATCTTTTAACGTCCTGTTCAACGTCTCAAGTGAATGTTTGTGCGCCATAGTACATTCATCCCAGATGATAATTTTACATTGTTTCAGCACGGTGGCCATGGACGATTGTTTTTTTTATGTTGCACACTCCGTCAGGGTTATTTTGAATATTTAATGGCAGCTTAAATACTGAATGAGCTGTTCTGCCTCCATCCAATAAAGTTGCAGCAATGCCTGACGATGCAACGGCCAATGCGATGCCATTATTTGATCGTATTTCAGCAAGAATTAGCGAAATAAGGAATGTTTTTCCAGTTCCACCTGGTGCATCCAAAAAGAAGAATCCACCTTGTCCTGCTGAAACTGCGAGCATAATGCGGTCGTAAATGATTTTTTGTTCCTCATTCATTAATGGGACATTGCGAGTAACAATCGCCGCCATTTCTACAGTGTTGTACTGCATTTCACGATTCATTTCCGTGTTCATGAAATCAGATACAGCTCGATCTGGCGAATTCATACCGAAATGACTGAGTGATAAATTAGCAATTATAATGCAGAGATCTTCAATAGCAATCAATGCTTCATTGTACATAGCGTCGCTAAACGTTATCGTTACATCGTTGCATCGTGTACGATGTTGATGCAATATATCATCAGTCATTGAATCTTTGTGATTATCCCACAATATCTGTGCTCGAGCTGGAAAACATGTAGTTAAGACTATAGCGAATAGTAGACGAATTTGTATTGCTGTACAATTTAATGCTGCTTCAGCAAACATACATTCCCACTGGTTGTCGTCTTTCATGTCGTCTGAATACTGTTGCCCATTCACTTTCCGTATATCTTGAAATGACAATGGGCCAGTAACATTAACCAACAACAATCGAAGATAAAAGCATTCAGTTTGCTTTGGATTGACTGTAAATACTCGCCCCAGAGCGTTTGATTTAAATAAATTGGGACATGCATCAACTGGGGAGCCTTGCTTGCGGGGCATCAATTTTTTTGTTTGAGCCCATGTGAAATAGCATGGTACTTGTGAATAGAGTAACGTTCGTGCAAAGGCACCAAAATCATCCACACGATTACACAATTCGAAAAATTCAGTGAGTGTAGTTTTAGGTGGATTTACAGCACGATCAATTGCTGTCTCGTTCGTGAAAAATACACGCTGGCCGTTTTCGAGATGGACGGCTAACTGAACAACTGCTGGATCCCGTTCATGAATCGGGAAACCAAAGATACGCCAAGCAGCTTCATTGGAGCTGATGTACCGACCAATTTGATAAAGTGTTATTTCATCGTTTTTATTCACTGGTTGAGCATTCACGTTAGTATTTTCCACTCTAAACACAGCCATATCACTGCCTTTATGGACATACTTGCAAATGTATTTGATGCTCTTCACAGAACTGCAGAACTCAACATTAATATGAGCATTGTATGTCTTGCTCAACAGAGGTGAATATGGTACCACCCAACGATTATCAATGTCAATGTCTGTGTTGTTGATGTTTTTAATAAATGATCGTCCGCCATTATCGGGACTTCTTCGACGATATATTGGATATCCGTCGACATTTGTGATCGTATCGTTCGTGAAATCTTTAGGGAAATTTTTAGTGCATTTTCCATCTGCCATGCAAGGCGATGTACGATTAAGAGTACCGCATGGACCATGAATCATGTTCGCTGTAACAATATCAAACAGCAGTTGGTCAGTAGACGGATCTGGAAGTTCTGCAGAAATGATACTATCGATTTCTTCAGGACGGATTTTATCGATTAACCAAACCAAAATGTGAGCATGAGGTAATCCTCGCTTTTGCCACTCAACTGAATACAGCCAGCAACGTGTGCGGCCGAATACATGTAATTTAGTAATGAAACTTATTAAAGACTTCAACTTTTGTTTGAAACACTGCTGTAACGTCATGACGATGGATTGAATTTTGGCCAGGCAATAGCAAAGATTCAATCTCTGGCCATTTTGGATTACATGTAAACGTGATAAATAAACACGGTCGTCCATATTCGCGCACGAAAGTCAGAGCATCCTGTATATATTCTTGCATATGACGTGGACTGCCCACATACGATGATGGTAGAATGACAGAGTTACCAATTTCGGCAGCGTGAGCGTTGTTGTTAATAGCGTCCCGCAAGTGAATGTACTCTTCCGCACGCAGCTTGAGTTGATTATATCGTAAGTATCGTAGTCGTTCGCCTTCTATCTTGGCGTACATGTCGACCATGAATTGTTGACAAAGCTCGCGACATCGTAGAATGACGTTGTCCCGGCCGCGTCGAATCATCAATCGGTACGCATAATAATCTTTCGAGCTAACGTTCTTGTTTGTTTCGGCTCCTGTAATAATATATTTTTAAATATTAGATTAAATCAATTACGATAAATAATTTTTTTTTTTTTTTAATTAGTAATCAAGTTTAAAATGAATGAAGTACCTGATACGGGATCGCGTTGTTTGATATTTATGCAGTATCCGTCTTGTCCCTTCCAGAACATTAGCGGATATTGGAGAGCATCATATGAACGATGTGTATCAGCAATGAACTGAAGATTATTACTCCTTCTACGAACCACAATTTCTCGTGCACCTGTACAATCGCCAACCATGATTCCCGCAACGTCGTCAACAACAGGTGCATTAAATCTACGAATATGCTCTCCAGCTGGTGTTTTATCAGGATTAATGACAATAGCGTGGTTATCGTTTTGTAATTTATGCATGTGTGATTTGAATATTTTCAACAATTCATTGTGCTCATTCAGTAAAGCGTCCAGTTCGCTCACGATGCGTTTGGCAAAAAATGAATCAAGGTTGTTATAGTCACAACGTGCATTCACACGATTGGCAAGTGCGCTTCCGGAATCCTCGCCGCCCATAAAGTAGATTTGTAAAAATTTATGTGCTTCGTTTGGCATTGGCAGTAATGAGCCTATTTTATGATAAACTTGGCCTCTAATTTTAAATGTAGAATTGTATTGTTGACCAAGTGAATTAGTATTTCGAACTATTTCTGTTGCTCCGAACGATGTCATTTGAAAGCATGAATTGAATGTTCGAATGGACTTCAAGAACACGTTAGAATCTGGATCCGTGCCGATAAGTAAACCGTTCAATGGTTCCGGTGGTGTTTCAATGTCGGGTAGTTGAACTTTTCCTGACGCGCAACACATCCCAGCTGGCTCGTTTTTAAATTTAAGAGCATGACAATTTGAACATTCTTTGTCCATAGCACCAATCACCACTTTTGTATGGGCATAATATTCCACATCAGGCTCATACTGGAATGCTAGCCGCAGGAATGAATCATATGTAAATGCTCGGTGTACCTGTTGGCGTTGCTGGTTGTTTGTTCTGCGTCTATTGGCTGTGAATCGGCGTGATTATCGTTGTTGTAATCTTATCACTTCATTGCGTTCAGCTCGTGTATCTTCAGATTGTTCTTGACGCAATTGCGCCATGCTCACACGCGCATCAGTATTTTCTTGCTGGATTTCTTCTTCAGTTATCTCATCCCTACTCCGCGTTGTTCACTGGGTAGTTACACCGATATAGTCTGGCCAATGAGTATCCAGAGTAAAAGCGCGGAAAATTTTAAAATAATTATTAAAAAATAGGGGTTGGTGATAGAAGGGCAAAAACTTAGGGTTGTATGTATTTTTGAATATCGTATCATAAAAAAAATTTAAAAAATTTTTTTTCAAAAAAATTAAAAAAAAAATTGAGGGGTGGACCACCCTTATTATTTAGGGGTGTGAAAAATAGATGTTAGCCGATTCTCAGACCTACCCAATATGTTTACCAAATTTCAGAGGAATCGGTCAAGCCGTTTCGGAGGAGTATGCAGACTAACATTGTGACACGAGAATTTTATATATAAGATAATTCGCGACTACCAATCTGACGACATGACTGTTAAAAGCATTGTAAAAACCAACATAACGTATAAATAAAGATTACCACAAGCCTTATTCACGCGATACATGACTGGTCATTTGTATTCAATACGCTGGTCTAATACGGCGTTGAACGGACAGCCGGATAATTTATCTTGCCGGGAATCGAACCCCGTCCTTGCAATTGCATTGACATTAAATTGCTCCCGCTCCGTTGTGAATGCAAATTGTAGTACACGGATTGTTTTGCTTAATTTGGATTGTGTATATATACGAAAGGTGTTTAAATTATTCTTTAAACTCTATTTGATAGACAATTGTGAATTATAATTCCTATTTGTACGAATTGAGATTTGGTACCAAGTTTTTATTTTTATATGGATGCAAACGGACAGGAAGCTCAACTGATGTTAAGTGATACCGCCGCCCATGGACACACACACAAGTGCGTTGCCGGCCTTTTAAGAATTGGTACACTCTTTTCTTTACGGAAGCTAAGTCGAATTGATTCGGAAATACTTCAGTGGGCAGCTGGTACCACATAGTTGTGGTGCGCGGCAAAAACTGCTTTTAGAAACGCTCAGTTATCGAACGACGAACGTCGAGGTGATACGGATGGTATTTTTCATTCTGCCTTGATGTCTGATGAGGAAACTCAGCTACAGGAATTAGTCCGAACAACTCCTCTGGACATTCTCCATGGTAAATGTGGCAGAAGATGCAGAGTGACCCCACATCTCTACGCAACGCCAAAGGATCAAGCCACTCGGAGAGGGATTGGTCGTCGACTGGGGAACCAGCTGCCCACTGAAGTATTTCCGAACCAATTCGACTTAGGGTCCTTCAAGAAGAGAGCGTACCAATTCTTAAAAAGCCGGCAACGCAGTCGCGAGCCTTCTGGCATTGAGAGTGTGCATTGGCAGCGGTATCACTTAATATCAGGTGAGCCTTCTGCCCGTTTGCCCCCTGTTATATTAAAAAAAAACATCCACCAACTGCTTACACAGCTCACATGGCTGTTCCAAAGTGAATTAGCTGAAGATGCACGATACACCGACAAGTCAAAAGAGTAACTTTAAATAAGTGTAATAATATAAGTTATATTTAAGATGTTGATTTATAACATTAAAACAGATTTGAATTTTGCTATGTGTTATTCATTTTTCGGTTCCTCTGAAAGTGGTGAAGCCTCCTTCAAGACCTTAATTATCGTGGTGAGCCTTTCCGATAGCTTTAAAAAAATTCCACTACCATGAGCTTCTGATCCTGCCCGTAGGGCTCCGTCTGTTACGCTAGGTCTCTTAGTGTAGACATCCTGTACTTATTTATATATTCACTATTTATCTGTTAGGGTTACATCTGTCTCACCCTATCATATATTTAGTTATCTAGTACAGCGTGCTAATACATATACTATATACATACTCGAGACATTTATTACATATAAATTTAAATACACATTTTACAGTCCTGATTTACTTCATAAACACTTGTGACTTCTTTCTCTCACTACGATAATTAATTTATAGGTACCTATACAAAGTGTTCTCGAGAGCAGTGTTGGCGTAGTGGCTTCAGCGTGCGACTCTCATCCGTGAGGTCGTAGGTTCGATCCCCGGCTGCGCACCAATGGAATTTATTTCTATGTGCGCATTTAATGTTCGCTCGAACGGTGAAGGAAAGCATCGTGAGGGAACTGGTTTGCCTAAGACTTGAAAAGTTGGCGTGTTTTAGGAGGCTGATCACCTAGCCTATTAGATTGACAAAAGATCATGAAACAGATCTGAACTGAGGCCCAGACCTAAAAAGGTTGTAGATTTTATTTATTTATTTTAAACAAAGTGTTCTACTTAAAAAAGAGCGACCAACGCTCGTACCAGTTAAAAAATTTATAGTCAAAAGACTCTAACGCATTAACTACTATATGTTATAAAATTATAACAAGAATTATTATACATATCTAACTGTTAATTACAACGCAACATTTAATTAAACGGCAACATTACTCAGACAATTCAAACTCATGTTACGAATACATTATGTTGTATTTCGTATGTTAGACCGTATTTCTTGTTCTACGAAACAGCCTAACAACGACAATTAAATTGTATGAAAAATGACATTCATTAAACATGCCCTTAGTTTTGTTGTATTACGTTGGAGACAAATTATATATTAATATTTAATATCGATTACAACAGCATAGATTTTGCGAAAATAAATTCTATGTTTAACTGAAAACAATTAAAGATAGTTATAAAATTATTTTTGCCACTATTTCATTCATTTTTTTATTAATGAAAGGTAAACGACGCTACGGAACAGCTGTAAAAAACAGCTACCGTAACCGTTCTTTAAAACACTCATAGTACAAAGTCTAGATTAAAGTCAAATTCAAAATAACTTTATTCATATAGGTAAACAAGTACACTTATGAACGCCTGAAAAGAAGTAACATTAATTCTGAATTTAAATTTACTACCAGTTCGCAAGTCAAGAGCGTACATGGGGCAAACTTTCCGCATCACGTTTTGAGTCATACAAATTATTTGAACTGGAGTAAATCAATCCCAAGGATTAGGATCATTTAAATATTCGTCAAATTAGTGACTTATTTATCGATATCCCTGCGCAGAAAGAGAATAAAGCCAATCAGTAATAGATTGAATATTGCCAATTCGACAAGTACTCTGCTGAATTTCTCAAAAGGAAGAAGCTGATATTTAAGCGGCTCAGAGATGTGAGCAGTATTCCATATGAGGTCGTACTTGAACCTTGTATAGCTCCATACGTTGTACCTCAGTGAAATACTGCTTACCCAAAACGCCCAGCTATTTGGAAGCCAGTTCATTCATCGTAAATTTTCGTTCTTGTTGAAAATTTTGGTGTGTAATTGTAATTTAAAATACACGGAATAATCTTTGAATAAGTCGCAAGAGACTTTTGTTAAATTCAAGAAACCTACGCGGGCGGGCTAGTTTAAAATAAAATATGATATATTGTGGAATTATGTTTTTGTTAGACATGTCTAATTAATTAATTGAATATTATTGAACATAGATTGTGAAATTATTAGTAGGTGCACTAAAATCTTTAACGAATCAAAGTCGTTGATCTATAGCAAATTATAAACTCGACATCGACGAAGTGGGTAGACGGGGATTGCCGTCTTGTTTCTCATCTCCGTCGATTTAATAATTTATTTATAATCATTAATCAAACTTTCTAAACTCAAAATACCCCAAAATATCCGAATTATATTCTTTTTCCTATATTAGATATAGTAGATAAATCTTATTATTTTAACTTTAAGAGCATGTTATTATTAAAATATTGAATTTTATATGTACGAAACTATTATTTGGACATTTCGATACAAAAAAGTTGAACAAAAAGTAACTTTTATAGAATCGCTTATTCTGTCATAGTTTGAAGGCGCAACGGTCATATTTTGGTTCAGCCGAGCGGTCATGGTACGAATTTTCATACAAATTAAAAGAACGATTACCGCTAAGGTCACGTGGGAATATAAAGTGTGTCGTTTTTTCGAAGTCATGGTACGAATAAGCAATGCATCTCAGTTGTAGGTTGTCAATAGGCTCGCAATAAGAGCTCATGGTAGGCCCCAGGGCCATGACTTGTTCCACGTTATTAAATTTGTCTCAGTAGACATCCCTACTCATCGGCAAAGAACACGGAGGGTGTAGCCAAGAGAAATCCCGGCGTAAAAACTCTCGGTGCACTTTGAAAATATCAAATCATAATACAAAACGACTATGACAAACATAGATAGAAGAAACCAAAAGGAGGGAGATACGGTCCGCTCTTTATTTGTATTAAATTACAAAACTGAACGGAAACCTCGAAGTCCAGTTTCCGGAAGCGGCACCTGTTCATGTCGCGTGAGCCATCGTTTTGCTCAACCATATTTGAGGGAATAAAACGACCCGTCACGCAATGTAAATCAATCAACAATTTATTACAGCTAATTTGCCTTCAAAAGTGGGCAATGTTCCGATATGTCCTTAAAAGTACACGGTCAAGTTCTTTGTCTAATCATGTAGCAAGATGTAATTTGGACGGTGACGCCAGTGCCTCCTCGCCTTATAGAGTATTACTAGTCGCCCCCTCAATGTTTATCGGCATTATTTAAGCAGGCCTTATTTGTATGTAAATTTTATTGAAAATTGTAGTTTTGGAGCGCCAGTTAGTGGCAAACTTTAAATATAAATTTAGGTCTGATGTTCAGGAAGAGATGACGCAAATTTTGACTTTGAAAAAAGGGAATTTTATTTCATTAAACATGCTAAGATATTGTTTGATGATTCGTTGATTACAAATTAACCCAGCTTAATTTATAAGCTTGGTCTTTTCAGAAACGCCGGTACTTTGAAACTTCGAATTATTCTTACCTTTTTTTAAATTTATTTGACAGAATAATATAATAAATCATGAATCATTAGAAAACCACAGTGATTTATATTAACGCAACCTAAGCTGTTTTTTAACTTTCTTTTAATGTTGCTTTACGTTAGAATATCTGATAACTGACTGAGTCCATTTATTACCCGTGGTAGCATATACCTCAACATTATCTCGCCATAGACATTATTTGCTCTCGATGTATAGAACCGATCTAATTCCACTGTTTTAAAGTATTTCTATATCTCTTTCTCTTTCTTTTTCTTTCTCTCTCACAGTGTAAACCCAATTTCACTGAAAGCACGCAATTAGACTGATTTAGTATTAGTTTGTATGTATGTGACGTTTGTCAAGTTATCCAATTTAAAGCAAAAAAGTTCATTTTTCTTTTTTTAATTAGGTTTTAAAATTGACTTTATCACAAACCAATACGAGATCAAAACAGTAGAAAATTGCTTTGGTGAGGTTTCGTCCTGTGATAGAATTGTTAATTTCAAATAGAAAGCCGAAAAAATCCTTGCAAACATAAAATTACTCTTCTACAGCTAACATTATTGCTATGAGACTCAGTTTTGTTTAACTAAACGTTTTTTAAATGTTACTAAACTACGAAATCTACAAAAGTAATCCCATTATTAAATAACTTTGTAATTTGACATTTATCGATTCAACAAAATTTCAATTATCTTCAGAGGAAAAACAATTTACGATTTAAACTTTTACAATTTCAACATTGTTTTCTTTATGAAATTTCTTTGGTTAATTGTTGGTCTCTCATTATTATCATTTGTTACGAATACCATTTTACAAAATTATTATTAAACTACATTGCTAATAATTCATAAGAAAACCTACGCTTTATTACGACGTGTTTTATAACATTAACGAGCAAAGATCTTACAATTTCTATAACCTTCAACGGAACCCACGTAAAACAATAAGGTTCATTCATTCAATGTTTTCAAGTAGTTTTCATCGAATCTACTTAAATTAAAAATTATTTATAATTGTGGAGTGTCAAGTGAATACGTAGTTTAGAAGCACGTTGGAGTTTCACCTCTTCGTTGTCGACATATCCACCGCACTGCACGATTTGGTTTGTACTTTCTTATAAAAAATCAAAGGATTTCACTCCTTGCCTCCTTCCATCTTCTCTTCGCAGTATGATATGGATTCGATATTGAAGCGGTGGTTGAACATGTATCTCCTGGACAGACGTGCCCCCCATTAGGCCACATCTCACGTCACACCAGGTGGGATTGCCAAAGGTCTGTCTAGTTATGACAAAAAATAATATAGGGGAAGATTGTTACCCTTCGTACGCGGGGCACATTCATACAGTCGAAATAAAACTTGAACGAAACAAAGTACAGTCTTGTTTTTTGTATGTGTGCATGAGTCGAGGTACGAACTATACATAATCGAAGTTTCGCGAAATTCGCACCGATGAGAATGAAGTTACAGGCATGGACGTGTTTTCGCGCTCGGTAAGTAATTTTTTGATCAATGTTTTTGTCTCTTGTTACCGTAGATAAAATAAGTTTTCGTGTAGAGTATTCTATCAGTAACTAGCAAAATATACTTAGATACGTCTCCAATACTTAATTTATGACGTTTTCCTATTAATATTAAAATAAGTTATATTTTGTTGTTATTCAGTTAGTGGGGAACTTTCGGGGCAGCACTAGATGGGGCACATTTGAACGAATTGTACAACTAAATTTGTATGAAAATATTTTGTCGACACGAACTGTAATTTTCATACAAATTAAGTTTTCGACTTGCTACATACAAATAATAATAAGGCATCTTGACTAAACCCTCTGGTAGGTAGAAAAGATTGTGTTAGTGTGCTAATTGCTCTAATATTTCCATTAACTTTGTCCTGTGTTGCTATCATTGCTATCGTCGATGTATTTTTATTACCTATTTTTATTATCTTTATTAAGGTTGATTTTGATGCATGTGAACCAGATGCTTTGAATAATTTACCAATCCATCAAATAGTAGTTCCTTCGAAGTCAGTTTTGACACCTTAAGGGTTTCGACTCTATACGCATGTTGTAAGAAGTAATAAAACAAACAAAATGACGACGGCCAGGAAAACCACGAATTTATACTGCCACACCCGAAAATAAGAAGTGCTAATCCGCACCAAAGATTAAAGAATGTGATTCTAAATTTAAGATACCTAACTAATTAAATTTTGGTTTTCTTAAGAAAAGCTATGTAATTTTTGTTCACTATAATTAAAGTATTTTATTTTTGTTTATTAGAAGTTAAATCTTTATTTTTGTGTTTAATTTCATTGCTAATAAATGAATTTTGATTTATATGTGTCGTTTTAATCGCACGTACGGAACTACCCCACAGCGTACGAAGGTACCCTCAACACTGTACGAAGGTGCCCCGTTGATGGGGTAGATTCGTACGTTTTCCAGATTTAGTTTAAATCATAATTATGGTTGAACCATCAGATGAAATCATTTGTCATTTTCTTATATGAATCTCAGATAGTTAGACTATAAATTTAAGCTTGCAGATGATTGATTCATGGAAAAATAAAATAATAAAAAAATAAAATTGAAAACCACGAAGGGCCCGACCTTCCCCTACGTGTTTATAAACACGACGATAAAAGGTCACCAACGAAGATCACTGATCAAAAAATATTAGTTTCTATCAGTTCACTGTAGAATAAATATTACTATAACAAATTACTATAAGCAACCAAACTAGTGAATTAGTGTTAGTGCACGTTAGTATTAAGTGCTAAACAGTGAGTGAAAAAATAGGACACAAGAACAGAGTGTCTTCCCTTTAAAAGAGACTGGAAGTAGTGTTATTGGACACTTCCTTATGATAAAAATCCTTTTTAGTAAATCAGGCTAGACTTAAATTACTTATTAGTCTTAAGTTAGGCTAGATCGTAATTTTCCATGAACAATGTCTTAGTGAAGACACATGTAAAAAAAAAACTGAGGAACCAAGTCTTCCCAAGGCTAAAGAGACTGCTTATTGCTACGATATGATTTTTTTTAGTTTTTAGTTCGACTTTTGATAGTTATTTTAAACTTTATTACAACTTATACCTTATTACCTAATCTAGTTAAATAGATTATTTTAAAAATCATTAGGAAAGTTGATCAGCTGTCTGTGTATATTTTTAATTACAGTGGTCTGAACCCAAGGAACCCAACTTAATGAAGCATAAGACGTGACTTAGGCCTTTTTTAATATGCATTAATTATGTAGCACCCTGTAGAACTCGTAGCTGCCGGACCGGATGTGCGTAGGCGGTTAAGCCATTTCCATGATTTTCACAATATTGACGCGTAAACTTTGTAGCCAAAGCAGTTCGATTGCTGAGTGGGCATATTAATTTTAATCAATCACGTGTAGGTGTGACAGTGTCAAATATTGAACCAATAAAAATATTACGTCAACATTTTTGTGACGTCAAAACGTATGATTACTAAATATTTTTTTTCCACCATGCAATTCCGTTATTTAACAACAAAGTAAGCTACCATTATAGATTTCTCCAATGCATTTACAAACACATAGAGAAAAATAACACAACATTAAACAGTAATAAATTAAAATATTTACAAAAAGACTAACTATTTATTACAGTATGACATGAAGCGGGCCAGTCAGTTCACTCAACGGACAATTAAAAATGACTGTTAATGTATGGAGTTCGTTAATTATTTCCATATATTGTGTGCCCTTTTTGAGAGCTGTATGGAATCTTGCATCTCACAATAATATTTTTCTCTTGAAATGTAGAATTAAGAATGAAGGCGTGGTGGTCGTTTAAAAGATCGTGGTCACAAAGTTGCAAATCACATTAGCAATCTACAAATGTCTCAATTTTCGTTGGCGCCTACTTTCTCGCACTTTGACATTTACAAGGTTCGGAGACCAACAGGTTGTTGCCATAGTTACGGCATTGGAGCCACGCGACCTTTCCTTATTGCGACTCCTTTATATCGAAGTAATGTCTAAGAATACGTGGGTAAAATATATTTCTAAGTAAAATTTAAAATCCCTAATTAATTTCTTTGAAAATTCTTGAATTGCACGATAACATAAAATGCTCTTTGAACAGCTTTTCTTTACAGAATTTATTTGCAAGAAATATATTTACCTAACTGATAGCCAAAATAGCATTTATTCATTCGAAATGGAAATAAGCCGGTACAGAGATAATTGATGAGTCGTTGCCTACGTAAATACATACGTCAATATGACATTATAAAATAGCATTACGATATACCATAGCATAGCCGTTACGTAGTTTTGAATATGATCAATTTTATTTTTATCCAAAGCAATCTGACGTAATCGGTCAGGTATCCGGGCACGGGTCGTGACGTCACGGGCGCGTGGCTAATTGCGGAACGACCAAAACGGTCTAGCGCGAAGCAGAGTGAGTCAGCGGAGAAAGTGGTAAATGACGAGCTCGGCGAGCCTCCGGGCCCACGCCACCGACTCCTAAGCATCGGGCGTCCCGCGCTTTTCGGAGGACGCGCCATTTTCTCGCGCACGTGGGCGAAGCGAGGGCCTCGCGCGCCATTAACGCGGCCGTCGTGAATGAACGACCGCGGGAGGCTGCCGTCCATTGATAAGACGAGAGTGACGGGGGCGGCCGCCCGTTCGCGTCGCTCAGTTCCTTGCGAGGTGCGCGCGGCACGAGGTGCGAATGTGTTCATGTTCTGTGATCGCGTAGTTAAGTGTATATGGTGGCGTTTGGTTTACGGGGATGCGCGCGTGCGATGCTCTGTGCGACAGCGATGCGGCGCGCGGAGGACGAGAGCGCGCGCCAGGAGGACGACGAGTTCGTGGACATATCACAGATGCAGCTGCTGGAGGCCGGCCCGTCGCACGGGCCCTACGCGGTGCCTTACGCCGGCCCGCCGCCGCCGCTGGCGCAGCCCCAGCCCTACCACTCGCCGGCCACAACGTCGGTCGACGATTTCTTCGCGCTTTACTTTACGCCGACTACACACGGTGAGAACTCGTTACAGACGCTTATGCTGCTTCAAGTACCTACAAATCCTTCTAAGCTGGTGTAACACTTTAAAATCAACAGATTCACTGATCTGGATCCTACTTTAGTAAACCATGTGGACGATAAATTTAGTGAGACGGCAGTGATTTAGCCGGCAATTCGTGTTAATTACTGAGGTCAATCGTTTACTATCTGTAAATTTAATTTTATACAGAGTTTTGATATCAAAAACGAAGAAAATATTTGACATTTGGGAATGGGTATAGTTTCCCGCCAAAAAGCAAAACACATCACAAGCTACAAATACTCTCTAAAATTTCTTGTCAATACTGGGAATTCATAATTAACATACATTTGACAAAATAAAAATATATTTTCATTGAATTGTCGTGATTTGAGAATATTGTTGACTTTGTCTAAAACTATAAAAGGTATATACGAATATCGATATTAATAGACAATGAAAGGGCCATAAATTAACAATATTATGTCATTTAAATATGAATGGCCCATAGACTTGTTTTATGAATTAATACATATGGCAACGCAGATCGTACCACAGATTAAGCCATGCAACAGGTTTCTCGCCTACGCACTTTTTGTGCATTGTTAAAATATCCTAAAATTATGGAGTAATAAAGTATAAAATTATTAAATAGGAATTCATTTCTGATAAATAATTATTTCGAATAGATTTTATTGCACAATACATATAATATAAGTTTTTCTTTATAATTGTATTTCCCCACCAATCACTCATAAAAATAACGTTTGATTAGAATTATGCGTATATTATCAAAAAATATATTTCGTAAATGTTACGTTTGGGGTGCTTCGGTTGATTTAATCAATCAGAAACGTTAATAACAAATCAATGAAATAATAACGAGCTAAGACCCGTGGGTAAAACCATGTTTTTTTCTAAATATTTTACATTTAAGATAATACTTTTCATATCTCAGCATTTATGAAGTTGTGTTTCAAAATTATTCAACACAAGTCCTCTCTACATAAATTTACAAATTAGAATACAAGAACTTTTAACTACAAAATTCACAATTCAATTCATTCGTAAATTTTAAGAGTTTAACTTCGCCTGTAATCGCCATATTCTCGGATTGCGAAGTCAATAAACTCGGAACTCTATATAAAAATCTTTACTTATATTATATATCCACAGAGCGGTTGTACGCACTAATCTCAAGAATTACTTCAGAATAAGATCAGAATATACGGTCAGTATTAAAACACTTTTTTATAATGATTTGAAGAAGACCATATTCTTTATAACGAACACGCTTTATGCCAACGGGGCACAGCATTTTATATAAGAATAATTAAGAAAAGATTTATACAATATTAAATTAATTATGTTTAATATCTAAATAATTTAAATGCTTATCATGTAATTGAAGTACACGCGACACAACTATTTTGGATCAGCATTTGATATGAATACCGGATGAACTAATCTGTGTTTGCAAAATGATATCAGCCGACAGGACTGCGACATCAATACTGTAATCTAGGCAAAAGATGTAAAACAATACTCTTCTAACAAAATATATGATTGCTTTTGAAGTTCACGTATTCATTAAATCTCTTATAACACTTAGTTCATTATCGGAATATAGATTAGACTTAGGGTCCTTCAAGAAAAGAGCGTACCAATTCTTAACAGGCCGGCATCGCGCTTGCGAGCCTTCTGGCAGTGCGAGTGTCCATGGGCAGGGGTACCACTTAAAATCAGGTGAGCCTACTGCCCGTCTGCCTCCTGTAACAAAAAAAAATAGAAAGGACTCTTTTCTGTATCTGAAAGTAATCAGACTTTTGTGACTAAAACACAAATGGTTGGAACTGAATACCACTTTAGCATTAACGCACTATTGAGACGAGCTCGTAAAGAACTCACAAGGACCTCTCCGCCACTCTTTTAGTCGTCAAGTTTTTTGTATATAAGGAAATTGTATAGAACTGCAACCATTGACACCATGCTTATCGTTGTACACCATGCTATACTTGACATATTGAAACAAAATCATCACAGCAGACTACCGTACCACCCAATACACTGGGCGATGCTCATACTACTTACAAAAAAAAAATTGTGCGTGTACTAGGTGTACACACGTAAGAAATGAAACTAAGAAATAAGATCTTGTTTTTCGAAAAATGATCTACTACATATATGCAACTTTACAGAAATTCGTTAAATTAGATAAAGTTTAACAAAAGGCTTTTATTATCATAGACATGAATACAAATATTTCATTTTACCTTATTACTACGAAGATTATTATAGAATTTCATTAATTGTAATAGAATTATTACTATCATTGAAAAACGTGACGATTTGCTACAAAATTTCTCCCATACGTCGATAAAGAAGTTTCATTCCAACGCCGATAAAGAAGTTTGACATCAAAAATCAACATGGCGCGTAACCGAAAAATGTGACGCGTAACGAAAAAATGTTACACTAAATTTTTTTCCAACCCCGATAAAGAAGTTTCACTTCAAAAATCGTAATAGCTCATCACTTTCAATCTGGTGAATCATAGATTCTTAGGCATACCCAAATCGAGATAGACTATGAAAATAGGCGGAGTCTTCAAACATCTACAATGTGATTGGTTCAAATGAAAAAGCGATAAAACATTTTCACTTTCATGTAGGAGAATACGAATTTATCTACCAATCAGATGCTCCCATTCTATTAATTTCGTTCAAACCTCGCCTATTCTATGAAGATTTTTCGAACAAGGCACACTTAAGTCTAGCCATAATTGAAGTCTTTTTCGACATCTAAACTATTTTAATTGCCGAATTTTGGTATAGACACGTTACTTTTGTCTATGAATTCAAATAACATTCAATAAACGATTCCCGAAATATTTATTTTCTATTAATAGACATACAGGTAATTAGCTTGGAGAAATTTTTGCGTTTGTAGTAGTGTATGGTCACAAATAAAAAAAAAACAACATTTTATTTTTAGTTTTTATTTTTTAAAGGGTAATATAAGTTGGTGGCTGCGAGGACTCCAAATTTCGCATACACTCTCCATGAATCAATATCAAAATTTGTTACTGCATGTATTTCTTCAGTTAAACAATGGGGTGTTCTGGCATAAATGTTGTATTCTAATAACATCAACCCCAGGCATATCACAATCATCCCCATCCTCGCTTTCACATATACTGAATAATTTCGAACTTAATTATGATTCGTTCTGGTATTGTGTCCCAAGGCCCGCCCCCCCCCCCCTTTTTTTTTTTCCCCCCCCCCCCCCCGCAGACTTTCTCCATTCCTCTACAGTTATGGCGTGTATGATTCTCAGCCCATTTATAGAAAGTTTCCTTAATTTGCACAGGAACGGATGGTTGGTGGTAAACGCAGCACAGTTTGGCCGTGCTGTCGTTATTTTTCGTCTCATCGAACCTTCTACAACCGCCTTGTGGTGCAGATCAGTTCAATAATTGAGGCTTAAGCACGTGATAATTCAATTTTCGAAGTAGCCAGTTCTTTGTGTTTTAGAATTACTAGTGATAAAATTATAAACTTGTCTAATGATAATTGAGTTGAATCCACGAATAGTTGTCATAGTTCAAATTGTCGTGGTATCACTGGCTTTAAATATAAGCAAGATCGGGTATAAAGCCATCCATACCACCCGCATGAACAATGGTTAAGCGGTTGCCCTTCCAATTTTGTTGCCCCAACCCCGGGGTTTTCTCCCCCCCCCCAAGATTTCGGGGGTATGTGATGTATGTATATATGTTTCGTCGGTGTAAACAATTGCCTTTTTCACGATATTCAGCAATTTTCATCAAATATTAATCGCAATATATAATTTTTTTTCCTAGAAGTTTCGGTTTCTTTTGCTTCCAATTAAACCCTAATGCCATGACTTTTCTAACGGCCGAAATCGATATCTTTTAATTTGTGCAAAGTAAGGGGAAGTGAGTGGAAGTCATGATGTTTTCTGATAACTTGCTGATAAAAGTTGATACTTGTAGGTTTCGGTTTCTTTTAGGAGATTTAAATCTTTCCTGATCCTGAAGGGTGTTTTGCTTTCTGATACTACCTTTCTGACGGATGCTATTGAAATTCCCCGGTTGATTAGCAACAATAGTGGGAGTCAAATACTGCTCGGGTTGTTATTACACTGATTTTCGAAATATTTGTACAAACCAGTACAAAACTTCTTTATGAAGCTTGCCCGACCATGTTTTAACACTGGAGGCTTTTTAATAACAAATAAAGTTGCACCTTAATTAACACTTAAAAATATTTTTAAAAACAATACAATAACAAATACAAAATTTAACAATTAACGTAATAATTATAATTTTTGAATGAAATATGTGCTTTATGTTTGACAGTACCAAGCGACTGACGCCGGACTGCCCGGGGGCACATTCAGCGTAAACGGGTTTATTCTGGTTTTGTGCGTGTATTTCCACTATCAAGTGTTTTTCTTTAGATTGAAATCTCTAACGGTGCGTCCTAGGCCAAAATAAATTTTGACCCCCGGAAGCCCCCCCGGGGTCCCCCCGTTTAAAAACCAGATGAGGAAAAATTATATCGGTCTCTCCTCTTTGAAGTTTCACTTCTATCGTGTACGCAGAGCGTCCCTTTTTATTTTTTTTAAATCTTGTTTTTATGATAACAAAAATCAGAGTTTGCTAGGGATAAGTATAATACTAACTATGCTTAGGATTCAAACATTTTTGTAAAGCCAGAACGATATATGGAAACGCGCTCTAAGACGAGTAATATACACACCTACACTCTGCAAAAATTTCTCGAGACAATTTTTATGGTTCCCAGGATTCAATTTATACACAGAATCAATATCAAAATTTGTTACTGTGTCTACAGTTAAACAATCAAGTAGTACTATACATATACTGAAGAATTTCCGAACCGACGAGTGTTATATAGCCCATTTATAACAGTCCTTCGGTGCACCCCAATGGAACCTACACAGGGCCTCGGTAGAGTCCACGCTGAAGTGACAGTTACAAAACATAAACGTTAAAGCACAAAAGTACACTCTTT